TCTAAAGATATACTTAAGTAGTATAATAAAGTTGGCTAAGTCGGTGGCCTCATCACTAAGCATCGACACTACAGAGCAGCTGCCTCACAAAGAAAACCACTGACACAAGGGTGTGCATATATGGAGGGTTGACTGTAATGGCATTTTGGTAATTTTTTTTTTCAGGAAAAATACAAGATAAAGTCAGTTGAAAATTTGTTTATTAATGGGTTAGAAAGCACTATTTATTTTATAAAAACGTGTTGTAAATTGTTTACAAAACATGGCGTTTTACATGTATTTTAAAATTTGTAAAATTATCTTCTTTTTTTTTGTTATACACTGTATGTTTGCATTCAAGAACAAGGAAAAATTATGATAAATGAAGCCTCTCCATCATCTCCTTGATTGTTTCTTGGTCATCTTTTGGAACTTTTTCTATAGAGGAGAGATCAATGAACACAGCATGGAGAGATGTTTTTTTACTCTTATAGGCCTGCTGGTAAAATCCCACATGATGAGGAGAAAGATCATTATGCTTGTAGCCTTTTGAGACCATTAACAAAAGGGCCTTCTCTGCAGCATTCCTGAGTTTCTTATTGGCATCCAGCTTATCTTTGCCACACATCCACAGGTATGGCATGATGAGTGCAGGCTGTCCACCCACCATCTGCACAGTAGCATCAATGCCCCATAATGTTTTCCATGCCCCTGCCTCAGCTCGTAGCTTATCAAGTGCTTCCTTCCAATCTTGTTCTTCACCTTCCATCTCTTCCTTCATTTCCTCATCAACTGGATTGTCAGTCAGTAGACATTCAAGTGGTTTGATAGCACTTGCCAGCTTGATCACACACCCTGTGCCATACTCAGTGGTTGCTAGCCAAACCAAACCTTCAGCACCACTCCTCAGGTATGCCAAGCAAATAAATTTTTTTGCATCCTTCTGGATTTTTGGCCCAAAATAAACTTCTTGAAGATTTGAAGGCAATTCCACCCATCTCCACATAGTTTCAGTCATCTCAATATAGGCACGATCAGTGTCCACCAGTTTAACCTTGTGTCTTGGTGAAAGGGCCATCTTGAACAACATAGAAGCAATGGCCATGGGGAGCTCTGGACTTGCTGAGCTCATTATTGCACTGGCATGGATCCTTTGATTTGCAACTACTTGTCCTCGAGATGTTTGCTTAACATTAACCTTCTTGAAAGTTGTTGCATCCTTTCCACCCCAGACTGGAATGCCTGGAAGTTCTTTGATGATATTAATATTTGATAGGTCTGGTTCATCCACCCTTGTCAGCTTAGCTATATCATCAGAAGTACCTGGTAACCAGAAGAACTGCCATTGTTTGTAAGTTGAGACAATAGCAAATTGCCACTCAATCCCATAGAAGGATTTCAGCAAATATAAGTAATCATAAACTTGGCCAGCTGACAGTTCTTCATCCATGATTTTAGCTGATGGTTTTTTGATCTCAATAATGCCCACAGGTAAGCCATTACTGTGGATTATCCAAATGCCAGACTGCTGCTTACGAAACTGCATCTCTTCAGCTAAGGAGATCCTTTCTTCTTGGCCAATACCATAAATAATATCTTCCAAGACCAGGGAGACAAACCTAGTAATAGTAGTCTCAGAAGCATAATTTAAACAGCCAGCCTTGTTCTTGTAAACAGACCAAATTGATGATGCTGATTCCTTAAATGATATATTATCAATGAGCCTGAACTTAGAATCTTCAATAGTGGCCTTTGCATGGAGTTCATTTTTTGATGACTGGGACAAGTTTCCAAACTCACTGCCAAGAGGGGGAAGGCCATTCTTTAAAATGGACTTGAAAGCTGTTTAAAAAGGTTCACAGATGTAGATTGATGAATGTAAGAATAAACAATCATGGTGACATACAGCAAAAGTACAAAAGATGTGAGTGCAAATGTCCAAAATAGTCAGAATGACAAAGCAGGGAGGAGGGTGGAATCGTAACAGATGGATGAATAAATGAATGGGGCGGGGTGATGCAAAAAAAAAAAAAAAAAAAAAAAAGAATTTGGTATGGTGAGTAGCAGGAAAAGCAAATTGCAGCAAACATAAACTATCATAGAAGGATGGAAAGCTGATATTGACACAACAATTGAATACATGCTTACTAGCTATGACCAATGCAGTGCATGCACAGGTCAGAGGTGGCATGATTGAATAAATTAATGGCAACAGTGAGTGATTAAAACATGACAGCATGGAATGTGTATCATTAGAAATGACAAACATGATCCAGCATCATAAATAAAAATGTCACTCACCAGTAGTACCAGCTGGAAGGACAGAAGGTGATTAATGGGACGGGAGGCAAATGAGTGTGAAACGTCAATTTGGTATGGTTGGTAGTTATAGTGGGAAAGCAGATAGATGATATTGGATAAATGGCGCAGTTACGAATATCCAAAGTGCAGTTGAAGTGACAAACGTTGTGACAGAGAGGAATGCGGAAGCAGACAAGATTCAGCACCATAAATAAAAATATAACTCGTAAAATATTCGGAATGCAGTCATGGTATTTACACCCTTAACTCTCATCTATGTATGAAACCCATATTGCTATGTCTACTCTACCCTAAGTATACACTACTCTACATCCCCAATGCCTGAGTCACAAAGTCGTTACCTGCAGAACCTTGTTGGAGGCGGAGCTTCTCCAATTCCAACTTTTTCTGCTCAAACTCCAACAGACGATCAAGGTTTTCTTGAGTTTGTAAGTCTTGGGGAAGTTTCTTGAAGTCTTCCATGATGACAAAGACATGTAAGTTTGATGGGAAGATGTGCTGCACGATGTGATCTAATATACTAATGCGGCTTAATCAATGACGTATTATGAGGAACTTTCTAGACCTTTTACTGTTCCCTGTATGCAGAATGTGACCAATGATAATTAATGCGCCGTTGTTTATTTAAAGATTTGAATATGCATTGCAAGATTAACATAATCAATTTACAATAATTGATACATGTAATTTGTCATATTGACTTTATTATTCTTAAAAAACAACGTATATCGAAGATTCACTAGAGCGATTGCATGGGAGGAAATACTCAGACCCAAAGCCATTGATGAGTATCCCTCGCTCTAGTGAAATCTATGCCATATATTATTATAAATGCTATTAACGTCTATATTTCCCTTCTCCTTTTCTTTATCTACCCATTTTTTAAGGCTTCGATCGTTTTTCTCAATAATTGGCCTTTTAGAATAAAAGCAATAATGCTTTTTTTTCCCGTGCACTTTGTGGTATTTTGTAACCATTTTGTTAAATACGACTGAATCCACAAACTTGTTAAATATTTCCGCGCTGGTATTTTGATTTAATTGTCCTTGATTTTATCGCTTAAAAAAGCGTTTGAGTTATAATTCGGACTTGGTTGTGAGTTTTATGGAAGTGAACATTGAGTGGGATTGTTATTATAAGATCGAACCCCTATATTATATATGTGTTACGCTAAATTTCTTTTCCAGTACTACTTGACCCTTAATCGTTATGGGGATGATTTATTTGGACGCTAATCTTACTATTACTATTTATAGTTATAAATCGACCAAAAATTCACGATGTACTGTATGGTTAAAGATCAACCTAAAGGTTCTTATCATACCCCAAAATCAATTTTTCATGTGACCCTATTGTTATTCCGCAATATTGTTGGTCCGAACAATTTGATTATCCCCAGTTTTACAGTATGTTACGAAAAAAACCGCTTTCATAAAAAATACCATAACTCAACAATTACAAGAAATAATTAAAAGCAAACAGTCTGGTTAGATAGCGTATTAGGTACTTGCTTGATATAAAATATTTTAATACAGAATCTTATTATAATTTCCTCATTATACTTGCTTGTATCAGTTTTTTGTTGCACACAAAATTTTATTATTTATTTTCCGAAATTTTCTGAGAAATATCCTTCTATTCCCAATTAATAATGCAGATGTAAATTTCACTGCAAATGCTTTACATAGTAGTCATCCGTTGAATTTGTAATATTTTTACATAAAAAAGTCGGTTTATTACAAGATAATCTTTGTTTCTCCCACGGTTTATTCTTTGGTATTGTTACGTATAAAACTTTTGATCAAACAGAAGTTTTCCTGTCATGCTCTAAAACATTCGTATCTTTTGGCTTTTTGAGATTGTTTACAATGGAACAAAGATAAACACTCATTTTTGGATTTAATTTTATTTGACGAATAAACGTTGTTGGGGTATAATCTGAAAGTAAAGTAAAACGTGAATTCAACCTTCATCCTTGTGTAACGTAGTTTATAAAGTTCTCAAAAATTAAAGCAGAAGTCAACAAAACCTTTTCTTTGGTAAATATCTTCAACGAGACATAAACAAGCTGATAAAAATATGTGGACCGTAATAAACACCGCATTTCTTGTCTATTATACAAAATAAATTCAATTTTCGGAAGGCGGTTTTTTTCGTAACACACTGTATATTGGCCATTTATATGTGATTGAGTCGTATTTTATTAGGAAAAAACGCTGCGATGCTGCACAAACAATCAAATACTATTATGTGCTACTGCTCACTAGTATTTTTCTCTTTAGATTTTCTATTATTCAACCACGTGTATATTTTTTTTCTTATTCATCGTCGAAGCGGATATTCTTACTAAGCAATTCTTTGACAAATGGTGATGGCTTTCATTTGATCCTTGCTCCAAAACAAAGTCTCCAGCGAGAGACGGGCTTCGTACTTCTTGGTTGGCTCGACAAATGTTTCCTTGTCATCACATAAATCAATTGCCTGGCAATGAATGAGCATCAGAGTAAGCCGCGATAAGACAAATTTCACTAGACATACTATACAACTATCTTTCTTTCACTTCTTCCACGTTTTATATTGCGTATGTGCGTGGTGTAACGCCTTTCAGTTGATGACTGAATTCTCAGATCGGTGTTTTTCTCAACTATGTCATTCGCGATTTGGGAATCGAACATAGCTTTGTCCTGCTAATTTAAATTAATATATCACTTGATTCATAATCGGATATAATATGATATATCAACTTACCTCTACAATGGATCACCTTCCCATGAGACATATACGGCATTGTCTCGTTTTATACAATTCCAAAGGGGATTTCTTTTACACAAGGCTAGATTCTGTATGCAATAACGACCAAAAGGCTGCAACGCATATTCAATGCCCATTTAATTAGTCTTTCCCTGTTGGGACATTGTAATTCGTATATTAGCTCCTCGGCAACAGTGTTTAACTTCCCCCACGATATTCATCCGGTGAGAAATTAAAAAAATTGTTTGAGATCGATTATGACGTTTTTGTTCGGTATACATTGTCGGTTGACAGACTAGCTTCGTAATAGCGACTCTTGAGCGTGAAACCAGAAATCGTTGTTCAAGGCGGTAATCCAGGAATTAAAGATTCTGAGGATGTGGCCGCTGTAGGATCGTAATTGGTGGTAGCAGCAACGTATTACCATACCATCACAGGGAATGTCATAAAGTAAATATTATATTCCTAAATTATGCAGAACAAATTTGTCGGAATACAATAGGGTCACATGAAAAATTGATTTTTGGGGTATGACCCCAGCAAATGTATCAATAACGAGGTGTTCTGTGTATCAGGATCAATGGTTTTCTAATAATAATAATAATAATAATAAGTTACATTTTGTTGTTACTATTACATGCTAACAGGGTTTTTTTACACTGTAGTTTTATTATTGGATAACTAGAAGTTTATTTTGTGCCTGCCTGGCTTCATCGGGCAGGCTTGCTTTAGTGTGTAGAAAGCAGTCATAACTGAAAGTAGACATTTTAACATATTGTAAAGATTGAAACCCACATTTTTAAAGTTTGTTGCCTCAACTCAGCCTATAACATCTATTTGTT